AGTACCTCAGGGTGAGGTCGAGGGTAACTTTCTTTGCTCATAAGCAAACAGTCACAGCCTCCAATAAACCAGCTTCTTGTTTGCCCCACATTCATCCCTCAGCCTGCAGGGCTAACCTTGGATCCTCTGCCTACACTCCTTTAAGTCCTTGCATTATTTGCAACTGATTAGGACAGAATCATCTGCCTTAAGCTGGATTTCCTGGCAAACAGACTCAGTCTGAGACGAAGATTGTGCGCAGGAGTTTCCGAGGGGTGCTCTCAGGATCAGCACCTGCGGGGAAAGGGCATGAAGAAAGCAGGATTAGGTGGAGGAAAGGGTTAAAATTAGGATGCAATAAAGGCCTCGGGTTGAGCTCACCAGGAGTTCCACAACTAGTCGGTAGAGTTGTCCCACCTTGGAGCAAGAAAATTAGGCCCCATTGACTAGTTGGTGGATGCAGACTGTCCCTGAGAAGTGGCAGTGACCTTAAGCAAGATGGCTGGCTGTCTTTGGCTGAGGTTACTTCCTGGAGGGAGACTCAGTTGAGAGTTATCAACTGCCACCAGGCCTTTCTTCCAAGGGCCCTCTGGGTGGACTCGAACCTCTAACATTTGGGTTAGCCTGAACTCTTAACTGTTTGTTCTACCAAGGGACCTAGTACAGTCCATTAACCTATTTAATTCTGGGCCAACACCAGCCTGTTTTTACTACTGTGGCTTTGTAGTAAGTCTTAATATCTGTCACAGAAAATGTTTCCATTTTACTATTCTGTTTCAAAGATGAATTATGTGTTTGTGGACATAGGTATTTTAGAATAAATTGTTTACTTTCTAAAAAAATACTGCTGAAATTTTGATTGGGATTGCATTGAATTTATGGACTAATTTCAGTGGATTAATATTTTTACAGTGTTAAACTATCTCATCCATCAAAGATTCATGTATTCAAGTCTACTTTTATAACTTTCAATAGTGTCTTAAATTCTTTTTTGTGTGGTATGTGTTAGATGAAGTCAAAGATTCTTTAGAGTTTGGTTTGCTGCTTTGGAAGTTAATTTATTTCCTTATAAATTTTCCAGGTAGTTATAGCTGGTAAGGAGGAATACAGGTAGTCTCTGACTTATGATATATTCAAGTTATGACGAACTGCACTTAGCTCATAGATCTGGAAGAAGGGGAATTGACAGATCAGGACTTAATGGATTTTGAAGAGGAAAGAAATGCTGAAAAAATAATGGGGAAAAGAAAGGAGAGAAGTTGTCAAAAAGTTTTACATCCATGTGAGCCATGAGAACAGAAGGGCAGTATTTGCACAAGGAGATAGCTGGGGGAAAGAACATAGGGGAGAGGTGGCTATAGGAAGGAAGTGGGAAGAGAGCTATTACATTGTAGGGAATTGCAGTCAATGTCATGAAACAAAATGTATATGAACTGCTGTACGGAGAATGAATTTGCTCTGTAAACTTTCACCCAAATCACAATAAAAAGAAAAAAAAAATAAGCAACATATTTGACAACAATGGCTGTTCTAGTATCTCCTTGATATGCAGCCTTCCAAGGAGTTCAGTGTTCAGCTTGTTTGCAGAGTCAACGGGGAATCGTGGAAGTCCCCCTGCCTGTAATTGATGATGGAGTGGCACTGAATCCAGTCAGACAAGACCTTCTGAAATCACCAAGGCTATGCCTCACCTGTGGCAATTTTTAAAAACTTCTTTAGTTTGTCAGACTTAAGTCTGCCACTTGAACTACTTAAGAACATACTTCTTACTAACCCAGATCCCTCCCCTACTGCCATTATTAAGCCTATTATTTCAGAGTATCTTTGGTGGAAATGGGGAATAGATACTTTCCACCATCATGAAAACCCCTTATAGAGAGCTTTGTTCTCATTTTATAAAGTTCTAACATCTAAGATTGGGAGCTCTGGTGGTGTAGTACCTAAGGCATTTAACTGCTAACCAGAAGACTGGTGGTTCAAACCCACCAGCCGCTCCTCAGCAGGAAGTTTGGGCAATCTATTTCCATAGTGATACTGCCCTGGAAACCCAAGGAGCGGTCACTATGAGTAGGATCCAACTCAACAGCAGTGAGTTTTTAACAGTGAAGATTAGAAATAAAGTCAAATTTATGTAATTCATCAAACTTTAATTTGTATTCAATAGTCAATTTTTAGATTAAAATAAACTCCTGATGAACAGATGGCAATATATTATTTCCCTTTTTAGAAATAGTCATTGAATTTTCAGCTGGGTCCATGGTACGCTGAAGACAATGTTTCCTGGCATCCCATGTGGCCATATGACTGATTTCTGGCCAATAGAATATGTGCAACTCCTTGGTCATGACCTTAAAAGGGAACATGTCCTTTCCTTTCACTTTTCATTGGCTGGAAAGGGAGCTGATGGGGGACACTTTAGACTGGGGGGATAAAGAAGACACTCTCTGGATGGCAGATCAAAAACGTAAGCACCTTGACTTCTCTCGGCTTTTTGAAGCAGAACCTTCAAAGCAGTAGAGAAATAACCTTCTAGGTCTCATGTAATCAAACCTATATCCTCACTAATGTTCCTCAATGTTTAGCCACCCTCTCTGTTCTTCCTAACATCCACCTTCCTAACATCCTACTGCAATTCGAATCATTTTCTTCTTGTTCTTTAGTGAAAGGAGTTGTTGTTCAGTTCCCGCCAACAACAAAGAATACATCTTACGTGAAAGTAACATTTTTTCAAAACCTAGGCTTGGGCAGCCATCGTTCTTTCCAGTTGAAAGAAATGAGTTGCCAGACCATTGAGAATTTTATAGTTTTTTATTATTTTACTATTAAGGCTTTAATTTCAAAATTGGTTAAAGTAAACAATAGCTATATATTTGTTTTTATACATTATATACATTTGAAAAATAAATAGTATTCTAAGTAGCATTTAAAAAAAAAAAACATCATTATGTACAAATAAGGCTTCACCCCAAATGCATAAATAAACGACCCACTGAGGATTCAGTTCTCGAGGCTTCTATTACTAAAAACATTAGTCAGAAGTAACCAGAATGAACAGTTAATAACAAGCTTCGCTTTGGCCAGAAAGCAATTACAGAAGCACACAAATGAATTGAGAATATATCTTGAATTAAGACTTGACTGGTTATGTCTTCAGAAGTTTGGCATTAATGGTGCAACTTTGGCATGATACCGGTTAAAACAATGATTAAAAACCTAAGTTCAAAGAGGACCACTCTTCCCCTCACCTGACATCTCACCTTCTCCCAAACAAATATCACCCATAAAAAGCCTGACCCCTTGGTATAGGTCTGCTCCTGGTTATATATTAATAAAAGGGTTTAGGATTTTATGGATGACTCTGAAAAAAATTCTTTGTTTGCCACATCTGGAGCATTATCTTAGGTTCAGTTTTCTAGAAAAGCAAAACCAGTGAAGTGTGCATTTAGAGAGAAACCACTTAACATCTCAGCGTCCCTGCTTTTATATTCTGTAACCCACCTCCATTGCCCTTTGTACCTTTCATCAACATACTCAGGGGCCAAGTAAGCTGAAAGGGTTTCTACAAATCCCAGCCCCAGTAGTATTCAAAGGAGGAGAAAAAGTCTGGTGAGGTTTAGTAATGTGTCTACCACCACATGCTTAATAAATGTTTGTCTAATCAAAATTTAAAATGAACAATGGAAAAACTCAAGAAAACCAATGGCTGGGATCTTGGAAGCTAGCAAGCAGCCATCTAGATGCAACGATGGGTCTCTTCTTTGTCCAGAGCAAAGAAGAATGAAGAAAGCCAAAATTCATGGAAACAATTAGTCCTAGAGACTGGTACACCATCCGATCTGCAGCGTATACGACTATGAGACCAGAAAAACTAGATGGTGCCTGGCTATCACTGTCATCCACTTGAAAGGGGATCTATGTAGGAGATCCTTGATAGAGAGGGAGTACAATGTGGAACAAAACTCAAAATCATTTGGAGAGAAAAACAAAGGGGGGGGAGGACCAGGTTTGCTGGTCCAATAGAGCCTGGTGGAACCACTGAGACTATGGCGCCTAGCTGCCCTTCAGATCTGGAATTGAACCCACACCTGTGGTTTCCAGCCAAACAAAAGACAGGCATATGAGTTAAACATTTACCTCAAGTAGATGCACTCCTTGGAGAGAACAATCATGGGAGAAAGAAGGGCTGCTTATGCACAGGGAGACAGCTCAGGGGGCAGGAGTGAATGGAGGGATGGACACAGGCAAGAGGTAACTATGGGGAGGAAGTGGGAGGGGAGCTGTTGCATTGTGGTAAACTGTGGTCAATGTCATGAGACAAAGTATATGTGAACCACTGTATGGAAAGTAGATTTGGTCTGTAAACCTTCGCCCAAATCACAATAAAAAAAAAAAAAAGAAAGAAAGAAAGCCAATGGTCTGTGCTTTAGAGAGTGAGTTGGAGAGCAAGACAGAATGTTTAAGACATAACCAGGATTGACCAATGTAGCCATCAGAACCCCAACACCTGGGGCCTCCGCATCCCCCAAAACCACTCTCTTCTCTCTGAGTGAACAAGGCAACAGGGCTGCCATCTTGACATGAGTCATATCCCAATGGAAAGACCTCTTAGGAAAGCTCAAGTCAGGTCAAGCAGCTGATAGCCTTGCACACAGAGCCGCTTTAGAGCCAGGGTTCCTTGTTGGGCAAAGCACAGGTTCTTCTAGCGCTTAGGAACCAGCCCTGTGTGTACAAGAGACCCTAAGCATCTGGCTTATATACACACAAGTCAGACTCAGTGCTCCAGGGGGTGTCATTGGAGGTTTGGAGTCAGAGCTATTCTAAGGCAGCAACAGGAGGAACAGCAGTCACAGTTCCCTCCAGCGAACAGTCCCAGCTGTCACAGGAGGCAAAGCCCTGGGCCCAGAGAGCAAGTCCTTCTTGGGGCTCCAGGTCAAAGTCAAGAGGGGTCATTCCTTTGGGTGAGTCCTCAGCAGTAACTTTTGTCCATGTGCGTGGAAGGTGGTGGGTCCTTGCTGGTGCCCTCAGGGAAGCTCCACCGTTGGACTGAAAGGAAATGTGTGAGAAAGAGGTGCTCATCAACTCCCTTATGCCACAGGCACGTATGTGGTGGACTCTGTTTACCTCAGGACAAAGCTTTCTTTCCACACTTTTAATGCCTTTCCTTTCAGAACAAATGGAAAAACTCTTGAGTACTTCTTTCTCTCTCTCTTGCCCAACAAGCCATAGACTCTTTGAGAAACTTAGCACTGGAATTCTTTCTCTGGGTTTCCTAATTCCATCCACCGCAGTCCATACATGTTTCACCCAAGACCCACCCCCAGCAGGCACACACACACACACACAACACACAAATGTGGAGAGACCTATCAAAGTGTCCTCTTTGCCTTGATCTCAAAATATGAAAGAGGCTGTCATATGGCAGCAAGCGAGTAAGACTGAGTCAAGAAACTGGGACTCTAGTCTCAGCTATACTAATGTGCCATGGAGCCCCTCTGAACCTCAGTCTCCTATCAGGGAACAGGTGGACAGCACTCATGTCAGAAAGGAGAATACCAAAGGCATTACAGATGTCTAGGGATGCTACAACTTCCTGGTGTTAAGTTATTACTCAGGCTCCTTTGTTTTCTGTTTCTTTGAGGAGAAGAGAAGAGGTGTTTGTTTCCCTAAAAAAAATTAGTATGAGGTGAATTATATAGTTCTCAACTGTTATGAAGTTCTAGATCAGTAAAATAAATATAAAATATCTTATTGCCTTATCATAGCAATCCTTTCTGGGTAAGTCCAACCTACACAGCTGTTCTAAGAATCAATTAAGATAATATAGATGGAAGCACTTTAAAACCCAAAAACAAACTCACTGCTGTCAAGTTGATTCCGACCCATAGCAACCTATAGGACACAGTAGAACTGCCCCACAAGGATTTCCAAAGCTGTAAATCTTTGTAGGAACAGACTCCCACATCTTTCTCCCAGAGAGCAGCTGGTGGGTTCAAACCATTGACCTTTTGGTTAGCAGCACAGCACTTCACCACTATCCCACCTGTGCTCTGGAAGCACTTTAAAAGGTGCAAATTTGAATATAAACATAACGAATTAAGATTTATTATTATAGCAGAAATCCATAGGAGCCTCTGCCTGGCTGAGTCGCTTAATGAGATGGGCAGCTTTTAGAGTCCACGAGACCTGTGATTACCATGCTTGTGGCTGGAACAGAGCAGCTAAGGATCAGCCAGGCTCTAGGACTGGCAGACGTTTAATCACAAGGGAACCACAGGATGGGCACAGCCGCTCAATGATTGACACCCAGGCCAAGGGGACATGATTTATCTGGAGCAAGGGGATCCTCTGTGCTCCAAAATAGCACGGGCTTCAGAGGAGACTGACTAGCTGAGTGACTTATCTCCCTGAGCCTCAGTTTCCCCATCTGAACACAAGGATAACAACACCTGCCTCATGGGGTTGATGATAAAATTAACTGAGATAAAGCAGGCCAGGCATGGAACACAGGGCAGGTCCACACTAAGTGCTCAGTAAAGGGCAGCAGTTTTACCATCCAGCATCTGAGGTAGGGCCAGAGCCAGGTAGAGAAATGGTTTCCCTCCTCCTTAGCAGAAGTTTAGGTTTGTTGAGTCCGTTGCCTCTCACTGACCTTCCTCAATTCTGGAATAATGGGATTCTAACATGGGCCAATAGGATTCTGAAGACAACCCCTTCATCTGACTCAGCTACACGTATGTGAGCTTTCATGCTTCCCAAAAAGGGGAAAAGATGTCAGACCCACTCACACTAACCTGAGTTTCAGAAAACCTAAAACTAGGGAATACCTTGGGCTTCTCCTTGACCTCTCACCCTACTCCCACATGGTGTCCAGGAGACCAGGAACTCTAGAACCTTTTCATAATACTGGTTACTGTGTAGAAGACTTTCAACTAAGGCAGGGAGCATGAACACCAACACAGGGATTTAGTTATTGGAAAGGCCTCATTGCAACACCTACAGGACGAGGCAGAACAAGAGGCATTAGGGATGTTCTGTGTATTTCACTTATTTGTTTATCTATCTCCAGCCAGCAGAAAGTCGGCTCTGGAAGGAAAGGGTTTTTGTCTCTTTTGTTCACTGCCATATCCCAGGTGCCCCGACCATATGTGGCACATGCTAGGTGATCAGTCAACATGTGCTGACTGGACATACAGGGAATCCCCAGTTACCTGGTTTCGTTTTTCATCCTCCAGCCATCGCGACACTTGTGAAACCAGAGCTCCTGGCCAGGGGAGATGCTGGTGTTCTCAGGGTCTTCTGCACAAAAAGTCAATCTAGGAGGGAAAAAAAAAACTGAGGTAGCCAAATATCTAGGGGGCAGTACATGGCTGTGCATCAGCCAGACAGCGCTTTTGGGATCAGAGCAATGAGAAAAGAGGCGTTTCCATCATGCTGCGCCCTGACCCAAAAACCTACAGGGGTTCCCAGCACTACTACAAGGGTCAACCTGTCTGGCTTCAAAGTCTTCCAAGATTCAGCCTCACGCAGCCTTTAAGCACACCTCTTCCACCTTCTCCCCTCTGACCATCCAAAAGGCCACCTGCCTTTTAAGCCAGAGCCTCTCTGAACCCTCATGAATCTAACCCTCCCTTGACTTCTCAATTTAATAATAATAATAATAAAGTATATCCTTCATTAACATCACTTTTGTTCTGATCATGACTTCCTATGACATGGAGTTAATAATGAATGTTTTGTTACATTTTAAAATATTATACACTACCTTGAATGGCTCATTGATTCCTATGTCTATGGTTAATGCCTCCACTGAACCATAAACTTCTCAAATGCAGGGACACAATTTACCTAAACTATAAAACCAGCTGCAGTTGAGTCGCTTCTCACTCATGGTGGCTCCATATGTGTCAGAGCAGAACTGTGTCCATAGGGTTTCTTTCTTCCTTTTTTTTTTTTTTTAACTGTGATATGGGTGAAAGTTTACAGAGCAAATTCATTTTCCGTTCAACTGTTCCTACACATTTTGTTTCGTAACATTGATTGCAATCCCCACAATGTAACACGTCTCTTCCCACTTCCTCCCTGTGGTTATCTTTTCTCTGTGCCTTCTTTGCTATGCATTCCTGTCTTCTAAGCTTTCTCCCTGTGCAAATGCTGCCCTTCTGATCTCCCATAGTTGATTGTTCTAAGGAGTGTACCTACCTGATGTAATTGTTCCTTGTCTACTGTTTGGCTGGGAGCTGCGGGAGTGAGTTCAATTCCAGGCCTATAGCATGTCTACAGGCCATAGTCTCGGGGGTTTCACCAGTCTCCATTAGACCAGTAAGCCTGGTCTCTGTGATTTTGAGTTTCATCCCACATTTTGCTCCCACTCTATTGGGGATCTCCCATATTGATTCCTTTCCAAGTGGTTCATTGGCTATAGGGTTTCAACTTTTTGGAAGTTTATCACCAGGTCTTTCTTCTAAGGCACCTCTGGGTGGACTCCAACCTCCAACCTTTTGGCTACCAGCCAAGTGCTTTAACCATTTGCATCACCCAGGAACTCCAATCTATAATAGCAAAAACCAAACCCACTGCTGTTGAGTCAATTCTGACTCATAGTGACCTCCATTGGGGTTCTGAGATGGTAATCTTTATGGAAGTAGATTGCCCAGTCTTGCTTCCATGGGGTGGCTGGTGGGTTTGAGCCACCAACCTTCTGGTTGGCCTTAGGCATTGTGCCACCAGGGCTCCTTCTACCTATAATAAGGTGCTCCATAAATACCCACTGACAAGATTAACTGGAGCTCAGCTGCAAGTCAAAATCAAAGATCTAGCAGACTAACAGCCAAGATCACTAGAAATCATCAAGGCTCTAACAACCATTTCAACTGTAACAAGGCCAGGCCCCGTTGAGCTGCCTCCCACCTCAGTGGGGTGATCAGCCTGACCAATAAACACATGAGCACCTGACCCTGATGCTGGCCGGCAGGACAAATCCACCTTCAAAACAGCTTTAAGAACCTTTCTCAGGAAGCCTAAAGTGCCCATAGACATATAAGCAGGTGACCCACCTCACTCACAGTCAGAAATGCAAAGTAGGAGACCAACTCAAACCCTACAAACAGAATGGCAAGACTGTCTGGGGAAAGGGAAGCTCTCTTATCCTGGTGCAAAGATTCAGGGATTTAACAATATCTAGTTGAGTTGAGGAACTCTGGTGGCATAGTGCCTAAGGCATTTGACAGCTAACTAGAAGGCTGGCTGTTCAAACCCACCACCCCCTCCTCAGAAGGAAGCTTGGGCAATCTACTTCCATAGTGATACCACCTCAGAAACCCAAGGAGGGTTCTCTAAAAGTAGGGTTTGACTTGATGGCAGTGAGTTTGGTTTTGGGTTAGTTGAGTTGAAGGAGGCCTAGGGTGGCACAAAGGGTTAAGTGCTTAGCTATTAACCAAAAGGTTGGCAGTCTGAATCCACCCAGAGGCACCTCTACTTCTGAAAGATTGCAGCCACAGTTCTACTCTGAAACATATGGAGTCACCATCAGCTGGAGTCCACTCAACGGCAACTGGTAGTCAAGTTGGAAAATACTTGTTGTTGTTGTTGCTGTTATATGCCATCGAGTCGGCCCCGACTCATAGCGACCCCTCTTTGGGTTTCCAAGGCAGTATCGCTATGGAAGTAGATGGCCCAGCCTTCCTTCTGAGAGGTGGCTGGTGGGTTTGAACTACCAGCCTTGGAAAATACTTATAGCCCAGCAATTCCACATTTTGGTATACAGTCTCCCAAAGAAGCCCTCACACACACACACAAGGAAAATGTACAAGGAGGGTCATCTCAGCACTAGTTGTAACTGCTAAAAGTAAAAACAACTTAAATATTCAGCAGAAGATTGACAAAACCATGGTTTCCCTGTACAATGAAGATTTACATACAGGAGTTAACTGTGAATACACTAGATATGGATGTATCGGACAAATTGTAATGGCAAAACAATGTTGAATGAAAAAAGCAACTTGTAAAATGTTATATCCTCCCATCTGAAGTTCAGAAGCATCCAAAACAACTCAATGCATCATTTATGGAGTCAAACAAAAGTGATCATTGTTGTTAATTGTCATCAAGTAGATTCTGACTCCTGGCCACCCCACGTGTGCAGAGTAGACTTCTCCATAGAGTTTTCAAGGTTGTGACCTTTCAGAAAAGCAGATAACCAGCCCTGTCTTCTGAGCACCTCTGGATGGCTTTAGACTACTAACCTTTCAACTAGTAGTTGAGCGCTTAACTGGGCCACCCAGGGACTCCTCAAACAGAAGTGATGAAGGTATGAAAACATGAAGGAAGGAATGCTAGCATCAGAATATTAGCTACATTTGGTTTGAAAGCAGGTGAGGAATAGGACAAGGACAGGACACAGAGGAGTTTTAAGTATATCCATAGTGTTTTACTTTTTCAAGTTTCTTATCTGAAACCAATATGGAAAAGTTCTTACTTACATTTGTTAATGCCTAGTGGTGCTTTAATGGGTGTTTAAAATGCTTGGAATATTTTGTACAAATAATTCTTTCTGGCACCACACCCATAGGCATGGGTTGCATTTACAAGAGCTAAGAGAAGTAGAAACATACACAATTACCCAGATCAGAGGTTTGGACTAATAGCTCCCGCATCTGGCACACAGGTTTCTAGCGGAATCACTTGGCAAGGGACTCAGGCCTCCCTCTCTACCGGGCTTGCTATAAACAATGGATGTGCACTGGTCACAGGACGAGTGGTAAAGGAGAAAGTGCCATGCCAGGCACAGAGAGGTTGGGGCTGCTTCATACCCATTTTGCAAGGCAGTGACCTCTCAGAGACCTGCCGAAGCACTCAGGGGAAGAAAGCCTCCTTTCTTGGCAAAGGTCTCCAGCATCCCTGGCTTGGAGCCCTCTCTGGATCCTCTTGAGAGAGCAGCCTGTCAGAGAGTCCCGGTATAGTATGAGGACTGATACATGAAGGTCTGGATCTTTCATGCCAGGCTTGGAGTTAATACTTTTATGCCAGGCACAGAGAAGCTGCCAGCTGGCATGGGACAGAGAAGTCTCTGTGACTTGAATTTAGGACCCCAGCCCCATGTCCTTGCCTCAGAGCCCCTGCAGGAGGGATATAATAATGACCTTGGGGAAACCACATCCTTCTGCAGACCTCAACCGCCCAGAGTGAGCTGAGGGCTCCCTAGATAGGACTTTGTTTTACTCTAGACAAAAGCAAACAAAGCCATGGTCCCATGGTAAAGAGATCAACAAGGCGGCATGTCTAAAGAGCCTTGTCGAGGAAAGAGCTTCCTCCAAGCCAGCACATGGGATTTCAACACAGGAATCTCAGCCCCCTTATCCACCCCTCAGGAGCCCTGGTGGCATAGTGGTTAAGTGTTTGGCTGCTAATAAAAAGGTTGGCAGTTCAAAGCCACCAGCTACTGCATGGGAAACAGACCTGGCAATCTGCTTCAGTAAAGATTACAGCCTTGGAAACCCTATAGGGCAGTTCTACTGTGTCTTATAGGGTTGCTATGAGTTGGAATCGACTTGACGTCAGTGGGTTTGGATTTACCCATCCCTGTCCACCGAGGGCCTGTGATCAGTGTACGAGCTGCTCAACAGTTTACAGTGGCCTTCCCCAGCATTTGAGGATTGCCTGTGTGCTCTGTGAATGCTCAGAAGGAAAGCAACACAGCAGAGGCCCTCGCCTGCTGCTCCTTCTTCTCTTGAGGTAGAAGAAGGTCACAGAGGACTTACTTCTGCTGTGTTTCCCCAGACTTGACCCGGATGCGTCGGATATTCAGCTCCCGAGAGGGGTTGTAGGATTGAGACAGGTAGCTGCGAAGCTCCTTCCATAGATTGTACCAGGACTGAGATGTCTCCTCCCAAGTGAGTTTGATCTTCAAAAGGTCACCCAAGTCCTCCTCAGTGTAGACCAAGAAGGTGTTGGTAGCATTCAGGTCAATCTGCTCCACTCTGCAAGGTGAGAGAGAAGCCTGTGTCATGCTCCTGCACCATAGAACTACTGTACAGCATGGGGTGATGCCTGGAGGGCACAAGGTCCATCTCCACCTGGGCCCTCCATGTCCCACCAGCAGGACCAGTGTGGAAGCTCATGTGTGTGGCCACCGTGACCAAGAGATAACCGCCCACAGCACCCAGGCTTCTCATCCCAACCATCCCTGTGCATCTCCCCATGCATGCTGCTTCTCAGGGGACAGGCCCAAAAAAACAGAAATGAGAACACACAAAGAAATCACGTCCGCACTGGAGAGGTGTTCCTCTGAACTATCCCCCTCACCACTGTCCCTCTTATATGGCACTTGGTGTGGCCTGCCTCACCCCATTTGTGAGTGTGTGTGTCCACATTTGATGTCCTCACTAGACCTAGAGTCCTGAGAGGCAGGTAGTTGGTGATATTTCTGCACAGTCCCAACATTACTTGGCATCATGCTTGCAGGTGCTCAACAAATACGCACAGATTGCTCTGTACCTTTCCCTACAGCCACGTCATTAGAAAAGGCCCAATCAGCTTATGCACAGGGAGACAGCTCAGGGGGCAGGAGAGTATGGAGGGATGGACACTGGGAAGTGGTACTATGGGGAGGAAGTGGGAGGGGAGCTGTTGCATTGTGGTAAACTGTGGTCAATGACATGAGATAAAGTATATGTGAACTGCTGTATGGAAAGTGAATTTGCTCTGTAAATCTTCACCCAAATCACAATTTAAAAAAAAAAAAAAAAGGCCCAAGGAAGATGTTTATGAAGTGCCAAACCTCTCAAAGTCTTGGGTATCAGGGGGACCCTGAAATGAGGTAGCAGTTTCTGCTCAGTTTGCTGAGTCATCTAGGAGCCTCCCTCCCAGACATGTTCTGAGTCAGGGGCTAGGTGAAGGCACAGCTGGGAGAGGCATCTAGACCCACCCAGCACCTCCCTAGGCACTTGGACCACACTGCCCTGCACTTGATCACAGCATGAACACCCTTTCTCATTCCCAACCCAGCATGCTCTCTATCCTGAATCCAGCAAAGGAAACTGTGACTCACATATCCAAAGGCAGAGTCTGGGAATCTGCATTGGTGCCATACAAGGAGACATACAAGGTAGGTTCAATTTCTCCCATGCTCTTGTAGCTGAAGATGTGGATTTTCATCTGATAATGGTAGACTGCAAGGAAAGCAGAGCAAAGACATTTGTGTGGCTTGCTTGTCACTGGCACACTGAAGATTTAGGAACTGACAGTCCTTTTGTCCAGAACAGCTTCCAGCCTCCCTCTGGACCAGTTATCTACAAGGTCATAAGATCTCACTGCAGTATAAAAGAAGAAGCCCTGAACTTGAGGCTTGGGAGATGTTTGGGGATTCTGGCGTGGACATTTTCTTCCTCCATGACCTTAGATTAGGGACTAAGATATTAACCTCTCTGAGCCTCAGCTTCCTCATACATAAAATAATACCCACAAAACCTATGGCTTTATAAGTTGTTACAAAAACATAGGATATCATTTTGATCCTCTGTTCTCTCAATCTCAGATTTGTTGCTATGGTCATATGAAAATACAAATATGAAACAGCTTTGAAGAGTTAAATCAAGATAGAAATGTAAGATATGGGTACTGTGATCATGGAGTGATGATTCACATCACAAGAGGTGTCCCCGTCACTTTTTTTAAAGATTTAATTTCCTAGATGTGTGCAGTGCAGTTAGATCTGCAGTGATTTGCTTGGGCTGTCACTGTGCCAGGTCACTCCCTTGGGCTGGGATGAGCCCTGTTCTACAGGGTTTGTATTACCTGTTACCCATTGTCATCAAGTCAATTCCAACTCATAGCGGCCCTACAAGACAGAGTAGAGCTGTTCCAAAGGGTTTCCAAGGCTGTAGCAGACTGCCACATCTTTCTCCCATAAAGCAACTGGGGGGTTTGAGTAGCCAACATTCAGTTGGCAGCTGAGCGCTTTGATCATTGTGCCACCACGGTTCCTTTGACATAGTATTAAAAAGGAGGAAGAAGACTAAGGCACTTCCTCAGGGACACCTCAGAGACTGAAGCTTACCTCGGAAAGGCATGCCTGCCCGGGTTTTTAGGTACATTTTACTGTTCCTCTTGTTCCTCATCTTCTTGGCATTGTAGCCAATGCTGTTACAGCGGTTCTTCCGGCAGCTGAGACAGATGCCCTTTTTGAACCGGTTTGAGTCCGTGCACTGGAACGCGAAGCTTGGTTTGTCCTGGTTCACCAGGGAATCAACAAAGAGGTGCACAGCCCGCTCATGTTCACACTTCACCACCTCTGTGATGGCTGGGAGAGGAGGAAAGAGAACATGGAGGTGAGTACCTCCCACTCATCTGGCCACTTAGCCCATCAATCAGCACTGCATGCATGCTCCATGAGAGCTCTTCTCATTATTGCAGTAAAAATAAATTTCACAAAACTGTTTTAGGCTGGGTTCTCTAGAGAAGCAAAACCAGTAAGGCTTATATATACATACAGAGAAAGAGAAATTTATCTTAGGAAAAAGGCTCACACACTTATAGAAGCTGGCAAGTCCCAACTTCATGGATCATATGTCAAGCTGGAGGCTTTTGCCAACTCACACAGCTGCAGGGGCTGAGGAGCTCAAGGTTGGCAGGCAGTATACCAGCTGTTTACTCCAACGAATGATGAATCCAAAACCTCCAGGCCAAATGGTGGATTGGTCACTCACAGACAGTTGTAGGCAGGCAGCACAACAGGATCCCAATCCACAGAAGAGTGTTTCTTTTCCCAGGATGTCCATAAATATATTGGAAGCAGGCCACACCCCTAGGGAAACTCCCTTTCAATGGATTGGCTGCTCAAAACATAAACATCTGATCCCCTCATGGGAATAACCACATCACAACTGCTTAAACCACACAGAATTGTGGTCCAGCCAAGTTGACACACAGCTCCAACTATCACAGTCCACCTCTTGTCAACTTGGCAGTTGTATACACATCTTCTTAACCATATATAATCTCTAAATAAGGACAATTATAAAGTTATATTTGCATCTAACATGATATGCTAACATGTGTACAACTGAAGCGCATTAACATTCTTTACATTTCACAGTTCATAACAGAAGGAAACAAAAATATTTGATGCACATATACAATGAAGAAATACAACAATCACAGTCCTCATTTCTGCAACTGGTCACGTGGTTGTAGCTGATATTCAGAACTACCTTCTTCCACCACCCATTCCTTTATTCCCTTGCCCTCACCAAGCACCTCAGCTGGTCGTGGTTCTTTGCCTGGTGGGGGGACCCAAACCTTCATTCCTGAAGGATCTGGGCCACTAGTAGTCATATCAGAATGGGGTTGCTGCGATTTTCCATTGACTTTAATCACAGGGCATGGTAGTACTAAGAGACGTCCTAAAGAATCTCCTGTATTCCAGACATATTCTTCTTTACTCCATTATGTAATGTCAATCCAATTTCCCTTTGGTAATCAGGATCTATCACACCAGATAGTACAGTAACACCCTTCTTTGTCTGTTGATACAGTGGCATGAGGAAGCCAAAATGGCCAGATGGCATTCTTAATTTCCAGTTCAATGCAATCAGTATTGTGTCTCCAGGTGGGAGTGTTCCTCCCTTTGGGACTAATATCTCCAGACCTACAGAACATAGGGTAGCAGGGACAGGAGGCAAACATTTTTTGAGTGGGTCACTAGGGGTAATAGTGATTGGTACCACTCCCATTTCCACTCCTTGGTTTCTGGACCCATGAATCCTGGCTCCTGGAGAAACAGCACCGTATATTGGATGCTGGTTTAGAGCATATACAGCCTCCTGGAGAACATTGCCCCAACCCTTCAAGGTATTGCCACCTAGCTGGTGCTGTAATTGTGTTTCTAATAGGCCATTCCATCGTGCTATCAAGGAAGCTGCTTGTGGATAATGGGGAACATGATAAGACCAGTGAATTCCATGAGCATAGACCCATTGCTGCACTTCATTTGCTGTGAAGTGAGTCCCTTGATCTGAAGCAATGCTCTGTGGTATACCATGATGGTGGATAAGACATTCTGTAAGTCCACAGATGGTAGTTTTGGCAGAAGCGTTGCATGCAGGGAAGGCAAGTCCATATCCACAATAAATATCTATTCCAGTATGAAAAAAATGCTGTCTTTCCATGCTGGAAGTGGTCCAATATAATCAACCTGCCACCAGGTTGCTGGCTGATCACCCCGAGGAATGGTTCCATATAATGGACTCAGTGTTGGTCTCTGCTGCTGACAGACTAGGCATTCAGCAGTGGCAGTAGCTAAATCAGCTTTGGTAAGTGGAAGTCCATGTTGCTGAGCCCATGCATAACCTCCATCCCTGCCACCATGGCCACTTTGTTCATGAGCCCATTGAGCAATGACCAGGAGTAGCTGCGAGAAAAGGATGGCTGGTTTCCACTGAATGTGTCATCCTATCCACCTGATTGTTAAAGTCTTCCTCTGCCAAGGTCACCTTTTGGTGGGCATTCACATGAGACACCAATATCTTTACTCCTTTGGCCCATTCAGAGAGATCTATCCACATACCTCATCCCCCTACATCCTTGTCACCAATTTTCCAATCATGCTCCTTCTAAGTCCCAGACCATCCATCCAAGCCATTGGCCACAGCCTATGAATCCATATACAATTGTACATCTGGCCATTTCTTGTCCCATGCAAAATGAACAACCAGATGCACGGCTCAAAATTCTGCTCATTAGGAGGATTTCCCTTCACCACTGTCCTTTAGGGAAGTCTCAGAAAGGGGCTGCAGTGCTGCTGCTGTTCACTTCCGAGTGGTGCCTGCATATCGTGCAGAATCATATGTAAATCAGTCATGAGTTTTCTCTTCCTCAGTCAACTGATCATAAGGAACTACCCATGAGGCCATAGGTGTAGACTGGGACAGGGAAGGTAATGTGACTGGAGTGGAGACCATAGGCATTTGGGCCACTTCCTCGTGCAACTTACTTGTGCCTTCAGGTCCTGCTCTAGCCCAATCTTTGATATACCACTTCCATTTAATGATGGAGTGCTGCTGTATACATCCAACTTTATGACTCTGTGGGTCAGAAAACACCCAGTTCATGATGGGCGGCTCAGGCCTCATGGTGACTTGGTGGCCCATGGTTAGGCGTTCAGTCTCTACTAAAGCCCAGTAACAAGCCAAAAGCTTTTTCTCAAAAAGAGAGTTATCTGCAGAGGATGGCAGGGCTTTGTTCCAAAATCCCAAAGGTCTGTGTTGCAATTCACCAATAGGGACCTGCCAAAGACTCTAAACAGCATCTCTATCTGCTACACACACTTCAAGCACCATTTGATCAGCTGGATCATATGGCCCAAGTGGCAGAGCAGCTTGCACGGCAGCCTGAATTTATTGCAGAGCCTTCTGTTGTTCTGGGCCCCACTCGAAACTAGCAGCTTTCCAAGTCACTTGATAAATAGGTCAAAGCAACACACCCAAATGAGGGATATGTTGCCTCCAAAATCCAAAGAGACCCACTAGATGTTGTGCCTCCCTTTTAGTTGTAGGGGAAGCCAGATACAATAACCTATCCTTCACTTTAACTTCAGACACCACTCTGGGTTGGCAATTTAATTGGTGTTGTAATTCAGTCACTCTTACAATAAGACTCTGGGTTTGGTTTTCACCAATATCATCTCTGTTACTAGAAGAAATAAGGCTTTCTTTCAGAGCACAACTGGAAACATTGAGGTCTTTTATGCAGCACTTGAGCTGTGACTCAGCAGCCCTGAACTCATCTCGCTCTTTCACCACTTTGTCTAACTTAAGTAGGACCAACCAGCCAGCTTCCTTATACTCCTCATGCTGACAAAATTGCAGAAAAGTATCAAATATGCGATCACCCAGAGCCTCACTTCTCAAAAATACTTGACCTAGTGGTGGTACTATTTTGCATATTATTGTTGCCACTTCATGCCACAGATTAGCAGGGCCCTCTTTACTAATGGAGGCAGAGTCACCAGTGCCCTTACGATTAATCAAATTGGAGAACCAAAACAGAATCAGTGAGATCCAATTAAGGAAGACCATCCTTATGATTTTGTCTCTCTAGAACCACTCCTGGTACCAAACTGTGTTAGGCTGGGTTCTCTAGAGAAGCAAAACCAGTAAGGCTTATATATACATACAGAGAAAGAGAAATTTATCTTAGGAAAATGGCTCACACACTTATAGAAGCTGGCAAGTCCCAAGTTCTTGGATCAAACGTCAAGCTGGAGGCTTTTCCCAACTCACACAGCTGCAGTGGTTGATGAGCTCAAGGTTGGCAGGCAGTATATCAGCTGTTGACTCCAATGAATGGCGAATCCAAGATCTCCAGGCCAAATGGTGGATTCACTCAGGGACAGTTGTAAGCAGCACAACAGGATACTGATCCACAGAAGAATGTCTCTTTTTCCAGGATGTCCATAAATATACTGGAAGCAGGCCACACTCCTAGAGAAACTCCCTTTCAATGGATTGGCTGCTCAAAACATATACATCCAAACCCATTGTGGGACTAACGCACATTGTTGTTGTTGTTGTTGTTGTTGTTGTTATGTGCCATCGAGTCGGCCCCGACTCATAGCAACCCCTCCTTGGGTTTCCGAGGCAGTATCACTACGGAAGTAGGATTGCCCAACCTTCCTTCTGAGGAGTGGCTGGTGGGTTTGAACCTCCAGCCTTCTGGTTAGCAGTCAAGTGCTCTAGCCACTATGCTACCAGAGCTCCCATTAACGCACATTACAACTGCTTAAACCACACAGAATTGTGGTCCAGCCAAGTTGATACACAGCTCCAACTATCACAAAAATATACGCCAATTCAACAATTTTGCACGTGCAGTTCAGTGACACTGATTATGTTCATCACGTTATACAACCACCACCATATCCTTTTCCAAATTATTCTATCACCATTAACAGAAACTCAGTGTCCCCAAATAATGACAGTGATAACTATTTTTATTGCTGCTGTTTGTATTCTTGTTTTTGTAATTCTTTATACATGCCTACTGCTGTGGTAGGCTCCTGGACAAATGTAAGATAATCCCCAGCACTTACCCACTTACTCTCTCTAAGTGACAAGACAACATTAACACACACAAAGCAACAAGAAACAAGAGAGTGTGCATAGTTCGTGCTAAGCAGGGTGAGGCCGAGCATGTGTGTGGTAGGAGTCCTAACTGAGGAAGTCCTGATAGAGTTTACAGTCACAAAACACTAGAAATGGATCAGATGCCAAACATCACCTACTCTAGGGAACAGCAAACTATGGCCTGTAGGCTAGCCACCTATTTTTATAAATAAAGTTTTATTGGCATGCATTCATGCTCATTTGTTTATGGACTGTCTATGGCTTCAGAGTTGGGTAGTTGAAACAGACTGTATGGCCTGCCAAAGCCTAAAATACTATCTGACCCTTTAAGGAAATGTTTGCTAATCCCATCCTAGTCCAATCCCTCTGATTAGAAATTAAAACCCAAGGGTCCTTAGAGGTGTAGTAATTTGTTCAGGGTCATACAGACATCTGGTAGCAAAGTCAGGAGTATAGTTTACATTTTCTGGCACTTGGTACATCCTTAAGGAGTTCTGGTGGCACAGTGGTTATATTGTTCAGCTGCTGACCAAAAGGTTGATGGTTCAAAACCACCAGCTGCTCTGCAGAAAAAGATGTGGCAGTCTGCTTCTGTAAAGATTACAACCTTGGAAACCCTATGAGGCAGTTCTACTCTGTTCTATATGGTCACTGTGAGTCAGAATCAACTCAACAGCAGGGGGGTTGGTTTTTTGGTTTTGGTACATCATTATTTCTCATAACCAGGGGATAGAGCCAAAAGTTTATGTAAATCTTAGGGCCTTAAGAAAAATTGGCAAGTGAATCCTACCCCTTCCTCACTGGTACCACCAGCCTCAAGAAATACTATGATCTCATTACCTTCCCATTCAGGGAGCAAGAGTGGGACATCCAAAGGGCAGAGCCTCAGAGTAGAGAGACCCAACTAGGAAATGCTGCCAGAACCCCAGGCAGCACCAGAATGGGGGGCCCCAAAAGAGATGGCCACCTACATGTCAGTTCAGCAGCAGATTCCGTTCATCTCAAGTCTGTTCAGGCACCCAGAATAAAAATTTCCATGGAGTAGAGAAAGCATGCTGGTTTTGCTTCTTTAAAATATTACTCAAAAAATAAGTTAGAGTGTATCCATGCTATGGAGTATTATACAGACTTTTAAAAGGATAAAGGAAGTGAATCTATGTGTCCTGATATGTGAGAATGTCTGTAATATATTATGACTAAAAAAGGAAAGTTGTAGAACATTGTGGTTAAGATCCTACTTTGAAAAATATAATCACACACACACACAAATACATAAATAGAATCATAAAGAAAAAAGACTGGAAGGATACACCCCAAATTACTCACACTGGCTACATTTGAGGAGTGAAAATTAGAATGGGGTGGGAGGGAAAGAGGTATTTGACAGTTTGTTTTATGTAATTCTTTACTGCTTGATTTTCTTTTTTTCCTACAAATATGTATTCCTTTTGTCATAAATAATAATTATAATAACATTAATAACAACTATGGATGAGAAAGCAGAGTAAAGAGCACCGGGTGGCTACTCACAGGCTTGTAGGATGATGATGAAGTTTAAGCACAAATATTTGAGGGGGAATGGGTGGGAGGGAGGTGGTGATGAGTAGTGAAGAAAATGTTGGGTGCACCAACAGCTCTGGCCGGTGGAAGAGATGTGATAACTGCGTCAAACCTCCACATTAAGCAGAAAAGAAGGAACTCACTTCCATATGCAATTGACCCCAAGATGTCGTTGAGTCCACAGCCAGGCTGGAAGTCACCCCCGTTGGGGTAGATGTCGATATGGCCCACAGGCATCTGAATCCCGATGCTCAAGCCGAAGGAGCGTGTGTAGGTGTGGAGGACATCCACAAAGTCTGCGTCATCAGGAGAGAGCCTTTTGTGGATGTCCACCCCTTCAAACATGGGCCCAGCAGGATCCAAACCTGCAGCGAGAATGAGGAGCCAAGACTAGCTACATCAGGCACACTGAGTCAATGGGACCTTAAAGTTAAGTCAACATGTGCAGACAAAAGACAGCCTCTGAAACCAGCCCCAGGATTCAAGACATGGAAGGTCTGGAGTCTACTGCCAAGAAACTGACACTCCCTTCCAAAGCCCTCACATGTCCTGACACCTCATTTGACTCAGTACACTGGCCATAAGGCTTACCATGACACGCAGCTCTGATGAACCCCGGACTGTTAGAACTAGAGCAGTTCTAGGAGCTCTGGCAGCTTAGTGCCTAAGGCATGTGACTGCTAACCAGAAGGCTGGCAGTTCAAACCCATCAGCCACTCCTCAGAAGGAAGGTTGGGCAATCTACTTCCGTAGTAATACTGCCTCGGAAACCCAAGGATGGGTCGCTGTGAGTTGGATCCGACTCAATGGCAGTGAGTTTAGTAAGAACTCAGACTGGCTAAAACTAAGCTGTCCATCCCATTCCTCCTGCCATGGAGAGTCTTCTATAGCCTCAATTTAAGTAGAAAGTTTAAGGGAAAACTATGCTGCCTGCAAGGAGATCTGGTGGCATAGTGGATAAGGCACTGGCTGCTAACCAGATCAGCAGTTCAAACCCATCAGCTGCTCCTCAGAAGGAAGATGGGGCAATCTACTTCCGTAAAGATTTGCAGCCTCGCAAACTCAATGGGGGTAACTATGAGTCAGAGTCGACCCAACAATGAGTTTGGTTTTTTGTTTTTTTTATGCTGCCTTCATTTTTCTGGAGGGAAAGCTCAGTCTCCTCCCCAAGCTGAGCTATTTTTATTTGGACTTGGTCTTCCCCTTCCTTTGATTATGAATCAGGTGCAGAGACAAAATGTTGAAAGAGGGGCTTATACCAGATATACTGAGAACCCTCACCCTAGGCTTCCAGAATGCCTCTACTTTGCAGCCACAGTGAGAGAACCTTTTTGCTCCCAAGCTTGCTGCATGGAGCAGGCAAGCAGCACTGTGGAGAGCACTGGGTCTCACTTTGAAACTGTATAAATATCACTGGAGAGTATGCTCAAAATTCAGAGTCCCAAAGGTAGCAGAAGTGGCACGGTGATTAAGGCATCCGGCTGTTATTCCAAAGGTCAGCGGTTCACCAGCCACTCCACAGAAGAAAGATGAGGCAGTCTGCTTCCATAAAGATGAACAGCCTTGGAAACCCTATGAAGCAGTTCTACTGTCCTATAGTGTTGCTATGAGTGGGAATTGACTACACGGCAATGGGTTTGGTTTGGTTTCATTTCAGGTAGCTACAGAAAACTCTGAAAGGACACACAAAAACTTGATTACCTGCATGTATGCATGTTGGGGAGAGGATGGGGAAGGGGACTAACTGCACCAGGTAGCAGTAACAGTAAGAGACTTCGCATCATGTTTTAATTTTGGAACCACATAAACGTAAAACCATCCAAAAGAAAAGAACTTGCAAAGCATAAAATGCGTATTGCCAAGTCCCTAGCCCTTTCAAGATTCTGGCTGGTGGGTCTGGTGTGGAGCCCAGAAATTTGCATTGCTCCCCAGATGACATGGAACACAGGTGGTCTGTGGAGCAGGCTTTGCAAAGCTACTCAGGGCTTTGGTATCAACTATAAAATGCAACCTGGATGCCTTAATTCATACAGTGCGTGTGAGATATGAAGAGATTAAGTGCTGTCAATGTAAATTGTTGTTGTTGTTGTTGTTATGTGCCATCGAGTTGGCCCCAACTCATAGCGACCCTTCTTTGGGTTTCCCTTGAGGTATCACTACAGAAGTAGATTGCCCAACCTTCCTTCCGAGGAGTGGCTGGTGGGTTTGAACTGAAAAAAAAACAAAAAGCAAATGCACTGCCTTGGAGTTGTATCTGACTCATAGGGACCCCTCCTTGGGTTTCCAAGACGGGTATCACTACGGAAGTAGATTGCCCGATCCTCCTTCTGAGGAGTGGCTGGTGAGTCCAACTATTATGGGCACTGGGTTCATTCCAGCCTGGAAGCCTCTCTGCCCTGAAGACAGAGAGAGGACCTGGAGAAAGTGAAAAAGACAGTGTGGCAAGAGAAAGGAGCTTGCTGGGTCTGGAACAGTGGTTCTCACTGGGAACGATTTTCCCCTCAGGCAATATTTGGTAACGTCTGAGACATTTTCAGTGATCACCATTGGGAGGAAGCTTCTGTACTCTAATAATGAGCAGAAGCCAGGGATACCACTAAATGTCATACAAGTCACAAAACAGTTCCCACAACAAAGCATTATGGCCCAAACTGTCAAGAGGACCAAGGGGGAGAAATCCTGGTTTGGAAATATTGAGGCAAGAAGAGTTTATGATCAAGAATTGAGCTGTGAAAGGAAGAGATGGGCAACTGTGCCGTGATCACCAGACACCAGCCTGGGAGAATCAGGGCACACGCTATGAAGCTTGACGGGTGATTTGGGAATAAACAAGCACAAAGCTACTGTCTACAGTGGGCAGTAAACTCGTGAAACACTTCACCCGTGAGAGCTGGTGGAGATGGAAACTCTAAAGAGTTTTCAGAACAAGCTTAGATAAATTTATCTATGACCAAGGTAGAAGGAGAGCCACAGCTGCTCGGGGGTTCATGCTTAGTGCAGCACCAAAAGAAGATGGTGAAAAGCAATGTCCTCTCATAATTGCCCTTGATGATTGATTTGGGAGGCTGCAATGACCACAGGAGCTCTGGTGGGGCAGTGGCTAAGGCATTTTGACTGCTAACCAGAAGGCTGCCAGTTCAAACCCACCAACCACTCCTTGGAAGGAAGGTTGGGCGATCTACTTCTGTAGAGATACCACCTGGAGACCCAAGGTGGGGTTGCTATGAGTCTAATCAACCCAATGTCAGTGAGAAGGATCACAGTACTGACACGAGCAGCCTTTCCCTGCCTCTCACATGTCCCCAGAGGAAAAAGAGAGAGTGAACATTCTGCTTTGCAATCAACACAAGAGAGAGGCTCTCTGCTTGGTGTGAACAAAAGCCCCCACCAGACAGTCAGTGTCAAGGAAACCAATCTGCACTGGAGGCATGCAGGCAGCTGATGGGCCTGGGGGCTGGCTGTCAGGCAGGCTGAGCAAGTAGCCCTGCCTTCACTCACTGGCCTGGCCCAGCCTGCTCTGGTCTGACTATGCCTGTTACACACCCTTGGCCCAAGGACTCGGAAAAAGTTACACAGTTCACTCCCTAAGAATGGAAAAGAAAACTTGTGTTGTTTTTGTTTGCTGTCATGTTGATTCCAACTCATAGCAACCCTATAGGACAGAGCAGAACTGTTCCATAGAATTTCCAAGATTGTCATTTTTATAGAAGGAGTCCTGGTGGTACAGTGGTTAAGTGCTCGGCTGCTAACTAAAAGGCAGGTGGTTTAAACCCACCAGCCGGTCTGCAGGCAAAAGATGTGGCAGTCTGCTTCCAAAAAGATTTACAGCCATGGAAACTTTATGGGCCAGTTCTACTCTGTCCTATAGGGTCACTATGAGTCAGAATCAACTCGAGAGCAATGAGTTTGGGTTTCCTTGGTAATCCTTAAGGAAGCAGACTGTCATATCTTTCTCCCTCAGAGCAGCAGGTGGGTTTGAACTGTCAGTCTTTCAGTTAGCAGCCAAGCACTTAATCGCTGAGCCAGCAAGGCCCTGAGAAAGAACTTAGCCCCTCACAAAAACAAAACGTGGAAAACCACCTCCCACTTCCATTCCGTCATAGACTCCTCCCAAAGTTGCTTTGTCGAGCCAATGCACATGCATACACACACATGTGCACATGCACACACGCACATGCAGGAATAACCTGTGAGGCTGTGCATTCTGGGCCGGCAAGGCAGAGCTTATAGAACTTCAAGAGCTACCTTACTGCCACATACAGAAAAGAGGCAGCATGGTGTACTGGTTAGATATGTGGCTCTGGAACCTGACAGCCTGGGTTCGAATCCCAGCTGAGCAACTTACAGGATGCAAGACTGAGCAAATTAGTTAACTGCTGAGTCCTAGTTTTCCCATTTATAAAATGAAGCCCAGAAGACCCCTCTCACGGGGTCTCTATAAGACGTAGAAATAGCATAAAGTACCTGTCACACTTTAGGTAGCACCCAGCCCAGAGCCTGCACAATGGACACAATTCATATTTGCTGAATGAACAAATGAATTTATTTGCTTATTTGTTATAACTCACTAGACACTGGTTCCGTTAGAAATGTATGACCTCTCCCTCGCACGGCATAGGCTTCTCTCAGAAACCTAAGGGGGAAATTAAGAGAGTAAAACTCTAGCAAGCCCCTGTGTTGGGCCCAAGCAAGACTGGTGTTTCCCCAGGCAGCCCTGAGCTGAGGACACCCTGCTGCCTCTACCCAGCAGCATCGCTGGCTTCAGGATCCCCTGCAAGCTGCAGCTTCTGGTCCTTTCACTTGTCGGAACCACCTGGTTCATGGGCACATGGGAAGTTGGCCAGCTGAGGAGAGAGGAGAGTACACAAACCTCCCCCATCAGACATGCACAAGGGCATGTGTCAGGTGAACCAAATACCTTCTGAGGTGCTGCCTGGCAACCAGACAGAGGCCATGCCCTCCTGTCGGGTTCACCCAGGCCTCTGCTCCAAAGAGAAAGGCCAGAGGGCCAGGATGGGGCTGCACTCAAGACAGAGCAGGGTATTGATTAGCATTCTCCCTGGCTCCCCTGCCGGCCCCAGGAGAGCAATCAAAGTCCACTTGTCAGTAGCTACCACCCAAGCAGGCAGAGGAGAGCACTGGACAGCTCCTTGCCAGTCCCATCCCATTTCAGATTCAGATATAGGAAAAGGGAAGGTCTGCAAATTATCCTTGTAAACAACAACACCATGGGCCCCAAGGCTTTGATGGATACCTCCTGTGCACTGCAGTTTGGACAGCGCTGGCCCAGCTCTGAAATCTCTGGCCTCTCATTCAGGGATAGGAAGAGGTGCTCAGACAATAGAACCCAGAGTGGCTGCAAGCTAACTGCTTTGCATCAGAAATGAGTCAATAAGTAGTCATGTGGGGCCACACAGCCACTGCTCATTTTGCAGCCAGTTCAGGTCCTGCAATCTTGGAAATAAAAAATAAAGCTCTCAAGCTATGCTGAATCCTATGAATCCCATCACTGAATTGAAAGAACTGTGTGTATCCCTGTGTGTGTATGTACGAGCCTAAGCCCAGGTACAACAACTGGAAGAGGACCAGTCCCTGGAGAAGCACTCACGACTACTAGCCAAAAGGTTGGTGGCTCAAACCCACCCAAAGGTACCTCAGAAGACAGGCCTAGCGATCTGCCTTGGAAATCCCATGGAACAGTTCCATGCTACACACTTGGGGTCACCATGAGTCAGAAACAACTCAAAAGCAATGACAACAATAAAACCTCACAGGTATTTTTTTCAAAATCTGCCTCATCAGCTTGTTGTTGAAACTTAAAGTTCCACCTTGACTCTATCACTCTTTAGCTAGGAATTCCCTTCTACCAGAGTCCTGTTTTCAAATGAAAACACTTCAGGAGAAGAAATTGATCAAGTTTTCTCTTAGTGACTGAGTGAGTCCTTAGTATCTTGGGGGTGAGGAGGAACCGGGGGGTGAACAGAAATAAAAAAGTACTAGAAGGTGGAGAAATACTCAAGGCAACAAATTCACCATTTATTTTAGCCTAGAGGAGTCTGTGTGTGTGTATTGGAGGGGCCCCAAAATGGAAAAGACACTTAACTTTCTGTTCTGGTTATCTAGTGCCGCTCTGACAAGAAGGTATCACAAATAGGATGACTTTAACAAACAGGAGTTTATTCTTACAATTTGGAGGCTTTAAGTCCGAGTTCAAAGTGCCAGGCTCTAGGGGCTGGGTGAAAGCCCCTTAACCTTGGGCTTCAGCTCTGCCCCTTGCTCCCAATCCACTGAAACTGGAGGCTTTTCTTTACTCAGACAGCTGCTGGCTACGAGACTGACAAGCACAAGATTGACAAGTAAAAGGCACAGTCCCAATGTTACCAAACCACACGGCAGGCCATTCATTCAAGTCTATTGAAAGTCCAAAGGTAAGCAGAGCATGGCAGGCTGCTGAACAACGACTCAGCTACATGCAAGGTTCAAGCATGCCATAAGCTAGAGACCATTCCCAAAGCTGTTTCTTATATACAGGAAGCAGACCACATATCCAAAGGCAGCTACTCAGCTGCTCACAGTAGATTCCACCATGGAGCTGATTACCAGTCTCATCACAGGGAATACTACATCCAGCTGCCCAGCCACTCAACCAGGCCTAGCCAAGTTGACACACAAACTTAACCACCACACTTTCCACAGCCCTTAAATGATTTAATACAAACTCTTCATGAAGGAGCCCTGGTGGCACAGTGGTTAAGTGCTCAGCTGAGGACCAAAAAGTCTGTGGTTGGGACACATCAGCCTGCTCTAATGGAGAAAGATGTGGCAGTCTTCTCCCATAAAGATTACAGCCTTGGAAACCCTAAGGGCTGTTCTACTCTATTCTATAAGGTTGCTGTAAGTTGGAATCAACATGATGGTGATGGGTTTTTTTTTTGTTTGTTTTGAAAAGGTTCATGATAGAAAACTCAATTTTCTATTGACCACATGGATACCAATATCAGAAAGACCTCTTTAATGGCCAAGTTTAATCACCCATTCTAAACAGGTAATTATTACCACTAAACATGCCACCTAAACATAGGAAAGAAGTAGCGGGTAGATAAAATAGAAATCAGAGTTAGAATCCAAATGAGAATCCACCACTCATTCTTTTTCCATGAGGCCTTGCAGCATCATGGGCTGAGACTTGAAGTGAACTCCCAGAAGCATGGAGACCAAGATTCCACCCTAGTTTTGGTCCTTGGTTATTAGCTGTGTCTCAAGTTCCTCACCTATAAAATGAGGGAATTGGACTAGATCAGTGTTTTTCAAAATGTGTCCCCTGAAAATTCAAAATCATAAAACAGCCAGGCTTATAGGTCTGATAGAGACTGATGAAACCTCCAGGACTATGTCCCCTAGTCAGCCTTCCAGCCTAGAATTGAAACCATGGCCTCCAGCCAAACAGTAGGCAGGCCTACAAAGTGAACAGTTATACCAGGTAGGTTCATTCCTTAGAACAATCAACCATAGGAGACCAGAAGGGCAGTATTTGCACAGGGAGACAGCTCATAGGGCAAGAATCATAGGAAAGGAGGACACAGGGAAAAGAGAGGAAGTGGAAAGAGAGCTATTACATTGTGGGGACTGCAATCAACATCATGAAACAAAATGCGTATGAACTGTTGAAAGGAGAACAAATTTTGCCCAAATCACAATTAAAAAAAAAAAAAAAAATGTTCCCTGGTGCTGTGGGAACTCCCTCAGGGAAGGGTAAGGCCCAAATGGCACAGCTACCAAAACCAAAACCAGTTGTCATTGAATGGACTATGACTCATGGTGACCCCATATGCATCAGAGTAGGGCTTTCCACTGCTGATTTTTTGGAAGCTGATCACCAGGCCTTTCTTTCAAGATACCTCTCAGTGGACTCAAACTTTCAGCCTTTCAGTTAGTAGCCAATTGCCTTAACCATTGGCATACCCAAGGACTACGACATGGCTAACACTCCCCTCCACGGGCCCAGATTCAACCAGAACATCCCTTTCCACCTGTTTCATATATTACAGTCTCACACAAGTTCAATTATAAAAAAGGGGGGTTTTGTAACTAAAGAGAATCTTTGAAAGGCTCTGGATTAGATGTTCTCACTGGCCTCTTCCAAAGCTAATAATCTAGGACTGACTGACTTCTGCTAACTCACTTGAGTGCACTCTGGTTCAGAAAAAACAGGCTGTCAGAGAACACTAAGGGAGCTCAGGGACCACCAGTGGCGAGTGAAGGAACTTACCTGTGATTCTGCCCACTGTTCCTTTCACGAAGTTGCCAGCATACCCCGCAACGTGTGCTCCCAGGCTGTAGCCAATCAAGTGAACATTTCCAAGAGAGAAGTCATCCTTTCCCTGCAGGAAGTCACAATAGCAAATGTGGTGAAGACTGCAGGGGTGGGCACACAGGGTCACCAAAAATTGAACAATTCACTGTGACGTAAGAACAGACACAAGAGTTGTTGGCACAGAGATTTCTCAGGGGCACTCTTGACAGAGACATATGAATAGGTGATAGCCAGGTAAGGGAAAGTCAAAAGGACTTGGAGGCACTTCAAATGCCAAGGACCAGGGGCGAGGCATGGATTACTACAGGCTGCATACCTGACCCTTACCCTACATGTGTTCTGTTCTTTCTTGGAGTATCTAAGAGGGGAAGGAGAAGGCCATATGGAGGTCAAAGCCACCAGACTCATTGGAGACTGAAGGACCAGTCACAGTCTGCCACAGTTAGCTCCTTGCTTGCTCTCTTAGGCCCTGACCTCCACCCCAGTCCCTGGAGCTGCCAATATCACCACAAACCTACCTCAGACCCAGGTTGAAGCACTATACCCTGGCAGGACACTTAGCTGGTGGGAAGCAAGGAAATGGGGCTTTGGTCCCATGGCTCAGGGACTAAGTTCTGCAAAACGACTTCAAGAATCCAGGTTGATTGAGAATCCTGACCAGAATGCAGCCAGAAATTCATCAAATTCTATGGATAAAAGGAAGGTCAAGCTGGAATTGTCCAGATAATCGGGTCATTTTGGGAGTGTACACCTGACCCCAGGTAAACCCACTAATGTCAGGTAAATCATTAATCTATAAAAAGGCAATTTAAGACCTGAAGGTCTGTTTTTCCACACTTAATATTTTAAGTGAGTTATGAGGCTGCATCTGCCTTAACCAACCCCTTCTCTCACCTCTCAGAATAATCAATATCTAGCCACTCTTCAGAGGCAAGAGCAGGCTTCAGTAGGTATTTCAGAATGTAAACCAGTGCTGGCTCTTGACCAATCTCAACCAATCGAAGGGCATCAGTTTCTAAAAATCAACAGCACAGTAACAGAAAGGCTCCCTAAAAGTCCCAGCTTTCAAGGACAGGCATAACTCATTTTATTGTGCTTCAGTTTACCATGCTCCACCAGATACTGTAATTTTTACAAATTGAAGGTTTGTGGCAACATTGCATCAAGCAAGTTTATCGATATTATTTTTCCAACAGCATGCGTTCACTTCATGTCTCTGTGTCACATTATGGCAATTCTCACAATATTTCAAACTTTTCCATAATGCTATTACACACTTAATAGACTATAGTATAATATAAACATAACTTATATATGCACAGGGAAACCAAAAAAATGTTGTGATTCATTTTGCTGCAATATTCGCTTTATTATGGTGGTCTGGAACCAAACCTGCAACATCTATGAGGTATGCCTGCATTTCAAGTGATACTTAATTCAGTAAAAAAAATGAATCCCAAAGATTTTGACCAGACTCCTGAAGTTCACTGTAGCAGAGCCTGGCCAGTATTTCTTAAAAAGGTTTGGGTTTGAGTCCTGCTTATGAAAAATTACTCCCTTTGCAGTTACCTGCAACCAGTTGAGCAACGTTGCAATTCTATGGCCCACCACCCTGGTGTTATTGACCGCATCCGTGTAAAGCTGGTGAGCCAGGGGAAGCCAGTCAACCACCACCACATTGGCGTCATTCTCCCTCATCTGAAGGGCTGACACCAGTTTTTGCAGCCAGTTTTCTAACATGCCACTCATCTGCAGAGAGAAAAGGAAAGTGTTTCCTGATTCATCTGGGTTTCAGAAGTCCTAATGCATTTCAGAAATCCTAACGAATATGGAATTCAGTTCCATAGCCCTCTCCCTTGCTAGATTCCAGAAGCTTCACCTTGGCTACTCAGGGACCAAACATCTGCACATGAGTAGGGCCAGCCATAGGCTAAATTGCTACATGAGTGTTTATTTTCCATTGCTCTTTATATTCCCAGTTTTTCTCATCAAAACTTTCATAGTTAGCATTCAATACTCTTGGAGTCACTGTCTGATAGGGCCACTATGAGACATGAGCCCATGCAAATATGTTGGCATAAGGTTAGTCTGAGTCCCTGTCACAGGCAAGTGGCCTAGGCCATCATTCAAAGGCAGCTGGGAGTGTTGTCCTGGAGAATTAGCTTCTCTCTTACAGATCCAGGGAGATGCTTTTTCCTAGGCAAATGCAAAATTAACAAATGACCCCTTCCCACAACCCATCTCTGCCAGCCCCCTTGACCCCAAAGGAGGGAAAATCTGTCCCTAGAATCTCAAATTAGAACTCAGAACACATTTTCCCACAGAAACAAAGTTATAAATTGTGACTAGGTCCAGTTGTAAACTACTCACAAATGCATTATGAGATAAATAGATTTTCTGTGCCTAGCCTGGGAACCCAAAAACCATTTAGAATCTTGTTTCTATGGGAAACTGCTGTTGTACGTTCCAAACAGATTACAAAAGAACTTTCTGGAATGCAACTCATTTGTAAGTCTTGGACAGTTTGTATTTGCATTTTGACAGGGGGCCTTAAAAAGATCCAAATGCATGATTCTAATTGTAGTTTGTGGGATAAGGATGGCTGGACATTCATCTTCCCTTCAATCGCATTAGTAGGTAAGAGTCTACCTCCCCCAGGCACGGCGGCCCCAACAGTTGGTGAGAGACCTAAAGACCCAGGAAGCATGTAACGGATATGAATTTCTCTCATTAAGAGGAGAAATGTCCCCTCCCAATTAGCCCAGCAGAAACCTGCTCAGTTAATAGTGCCATTTTCCTACAGACCATCATTCGATGAATGAATAAATGCCTCGCTGGTCAAAAGCTTCTGAAGCTTAGCATTAAAGCCCTTTTTTGTTGAAGTTTGTCATGGGCCTTTCAATGTGAATTGCTCAGCTAGGGTACATAAAGCGCCTCCATGCCTTTAAATCAGGCCATCTCTATGCAAACAGGAGGGCACCATGCCAACAGAGGCCAGCCATCCAGCCCAGCTGGCTCGTCATCACGTCTCTGAACCAGGCAAGCTGCTCTAGCTCAGCTCCAGTCTTACAGAGGGCTAGCTCCCGCAAGGCTGTGGTTGACCAACGTAATTAAGTGTAATTAGAGGGGCCCTGAAGAGCTGGTGGAGCTGGGCTGCTGCCCTCAGGAGAGCCACTTTCTGAAAGGTGCTGCATGCCAGCATTAAATACCACCCTGCTGGAGCCCAGTGTGCCCCCTCAACACAGTGTTATTTATTACATCCTTCACAGATGCCTGAAATACAAGCAGCCCACAAGAAGGGGAGGGTGAGGGGGGATCTGCAGGCACCACTCTTCTTTTTAATTGAGTAAAACAAAAGAAACCAAATGCTGTGTAAAGCTATAGAGCTCCCTCCCCTGGGGCTCACCGTCCATCCATGGATGATGAAAAAGGTTTTTGCTGTCCTGTTGAAACCACAGTCCTCTAAGAGCTGGTCATGCCCAAGGGAGAGGTAGCATCCTTCATGCTCTGGGTCCTTTGAGGTGCGGAGGTTAAACCTCACGGAGGGCTTGGCGGCAGCCTGTACATCCTTGGATTTGTGGAGCTCATCTGGGGAGAAAGAAAGGAGTGTGGGTGTATCTAGTGGGCCGGGTGATGAGAGATCTTGGTTCGAGTTCTGGTCCAACCTTAAGCAAATTACTTAACACCCTTGGGTTTCAGTTGTTACATCTGCCAAACAAGGATAACATGTTCCATCCTCAACTCCCAGAAGAATTTTAAACAGATTGTAAAAAGGGCATCTCATCTACACTTAAAAGTATCCGTTACTCCCTGTTGTTGTTGTTGTTGTTGTTATGTGCCATCGAGTTGGACCCAACTCATAGCGACCCCTCCTTAGGTTTCCGAGGCGGTATCACTACAGAAGTAGATTGCCCAACCTTCCTTCCAAGGAGTGGCTGGTGGGTTTGAACCGCCAGCCTTCTGGTTAGCAGTCACATGCCTTAGGCATTACGCTGCCAGAGCTCCTCCCATCAAGATAACAGCCAAGAAAACCATATGAAGCAGTTCTGCTCTGTAACA